TTTGTTGGCAAGGTTATAGTATGTTGCTTCTTTCCTATTCAACAGACATGCACCCGATGAAATGAGGAATTGTTCAATGAGACGACCTCGTGCATCACAGCGAGAGTCACCCCACAGACCATTATGTGCGTTCAGGTCCCCAAGGACCAGATAAGGTTCAGGTAGTTCGTCTATTAAAGACTGGAATTGAAGTTTTTCGAGACGGTGGTGCGGAGGTATGTACAAAGAGCAAACAGTGACAAGTTTGTTTAGAATGACTGCTCGGACAGCCACCGCCTCGAGGGAAGTTTGAAGGGGTAATTGTGTGCATGCTATACCTTGACTTACTATAACCGCTACACCACCGGATGGTAGCATGGCATCATCTCTATCCTTTCGGAAGATTATGTAGTTACGTAAAAAGTTTGTGTTAGTTCGTTTTAAGTGTGTCTCTTGTACACACAGCACTCTTGGATTGTGTTCATGGAGGAGTTCTTGTAAGTCATCGAGGTTTCGAAGAAGGCCTCGGATGTTCCACTGTAATATTTCTGTCTGCATATTTAAACAAGAGATATGCTGCTGTGTGTACAAAGAGTATCCTGTGTTGGAGTGAGCTCATTTATTCAGGTGGCAGGACGGTTGTCCGGCCCCGTTATTGGTTTTTTATTTTTCTTGGCGCGCTCCAAGGAGGCGCCCCGCTCTTTTGGTACCAAGGGTACCGTTGTATCCATTGCCTCCTCAGAGGCACTGGGTGCCCGCACATGCGAGCTCGTGGTTCGGATATTAGGCCTCGCCTGGTGAGGGGAGGCCTTGAGACCAGAGGACCCTGGAGTCTCCGGCCTCAATTCGCTAGGAGGCGGAGTAGCCTGAACTACTGCCGCCTTGGGGGCAGGTGCCACAGCCGTCGGCTCGCTCTGCGCTGGCCGAAGGAGTGGCGAGGGCTGGTGCGGCGCTGCCCCCTGACGCGCCGCATCAGCATATGTAGCGCCATAAAATGGCGACACTCTTCGTCTTGCTTCCTTGAATGTGATATTTTCTTTGATTTTCAATGTGATGATTTCCTTTTCTTTTTTCCAAAATGAGCAAGACCGTGAGTATGCGGCATGATTTCCACCACAGTTCACACAGTGTGATGGTTCTTCGCAATTGTCAGAATTGTGGCCTGACACTCCACATTGTGCACAAGTTTGGTGACCACGACAGCTTTGTGAGCCGTGGCCATACTTCTGGCATTTAAAACAACGACGTGGGTTAGGTATGTATGGTCTGATCGACGTCTTTGTGTAGCCTGTTTGAATACTTTCTGGGAGATTACTGGAAGCGAACGTGAGTATTAGGTGTTTTGTTGGAGTTGCCTTGTTGTCTCTTCTAATGGTGATCCTTTGTACATTTGTCACATTCTGACTCTTCCACCCCTCCAGAAGTTCCTCTTCAGTCAAGCCGAGCAAATCAGCATCAGATACTACTCCACGGGTTGTGTTCATGGATCTGTGTGGCGTTACAGTGATGGGAGTGTCACCAAAAGTTGATAGATTCTGTAGCTTTTCAAACTGTTCTTTTTCTCGAACTTCAAGGAGGAGGTCTCCGCTGGCCATTTTGGTAACTTTGTACCCGGCTCCTAGAGTTTCTGTGAGACATCTGGCTACTACAAAGGGGGATACGGTTCTGGCTTGCTTGCTGCTTATCTCACTATGTATAACATGAAAATGGGGGAAGTTCTCAGTTGATCGGTTGAAAAAACCTAAGTCTTCGGTGCGTACGCGCTTTAAGGCGGTACGATCATTTAACAAGGGAAACGCTCTATGCATTCCAGTTTAATTTTCTTCAGAAGCGTTGGCGGCCACCCACCACGGAGCCCAACGAGGGGACGCTACAAGTTTGCGGGTGCTAAAACCTGCAGACGCCAGCCGTACAACGCTACTATAACCCAATGCGCCTAGACCAAGGTAGGCTATTTGCACAGGGTTAACCCTAGCCGCCAGGAAGTTTGGAAGTAAACAGAAGAGAGGAGAAGACAGGACAGATAAAAAGTGAGAGATAAAGACGAAGATGTAGGGAGAGAGAGATAGGAAAAGGCGACTGCCGATTTCCCCTGGGTGGGTCAGCCCAGGGGTGCCGTCTACGTGAAGCCGGGGCCAAAGGGGTGTGTTGCCTCTGCCGGGGGGCCTTAAAGGTCCAATCACCCAGCGTCGGCTCAACCCCCAGGATCCCCTTTTCCCCGGACACGGCAAAGCCACGCACGGCTAGGCGTGGGAGGGAGTAGAAACTCCCCCGTTAGCTCGGGTCCGTGGTGTCGCTACACACCAAACGCCTACTTGCGCAGGCGCCCCTGCGGGCGAAACGAGGATGAGAGGAGGAGAGCTCGAAACCCTTGCCGCTTCTCCGCGTAGCCTTCTCAAGCCAAATCTCTTTCCCACTCTCTCAGGCATTCGACCAAGAGATCACGTGCGTATTTCATGCCCAAACAAGCCCAACCCCCAAGCATGCGAGTGGTGTTGCTTTGTTGACCAGCATTATTTTGTGGTCTTCTGCCTGTTTCTGTGGGATGGTTTGAAAACGCTGGCTTAGACGCGGTACAATAGATGAGTACAATGAGTGCGCAAACGCGTAGCAGCGTTTCATTCGCTTCCACGGCTGTCGTCTGCTCGATGCGCTGACCGCGGGGACACGAACGAATGCGAAACGCTGGCACATTAGCCCCGCATCTCATAGCATTTCACGAGAAAGAATGAAAGAAAAGCGCGTGCAATTTTTTATTGCGTCTCATTATTTATTTCAAGTTTTATTAATCTCTTGAAGTAACAAATACATAAACTACGCACGTTGTGTTAAATAATTTTTGCCATGTCATGTGGTATACTGTTTACAACGTCAGCGCAAAGTCGTCTACGTAGAGGACCAACGTCATTGCATTGCGGTGTACGTAGGGCCATTCATACGCCCGCGTCAAGCCCTCATTCTCAAGGCGTGCACCAGCAGAAGGGAGGAGGAGTAGCGTTCATCTTGAAACTTGACCCATCTCCGTGGCGCGTAGCGTCGCAAATTTTACAGGCGTGATCATGAACGCCTTATCTATGGATTACGCTTGCCCGCTCAAAATTGTCAAGCCTGGTGAGTGGCCTTTTAAGGCGCTTGTTTACGTGCGGAGGTGGACTAGAAGAATAATGATGCCTCCTCCCTTTCGGCAATGTAACGGAGACATGGCCGACTGGCTAAATATTTCAAAATAAACATCTTTGCATTTTAACTGCAGAACTTGCTGTTCCACACCTTTGGCAAGCCCTGACATTGCAGATGCACCCATGGCGATGACAGTTATATTGCGCTGCGGCTTTCAAGGCGCGACCAGCTGGCGCACAGGTTTTCGAGTGTCTGCTCTCCGAATTGTTGCCGCTTACACGAAGCAGGCCACATGCGTGAAATCACGGAACATAACAGCAACAAGTGCCAATTGCACTGCAAGTGCACCCCGCAGATGAAGCTGAATGCGATTAGTTGTGATGTAATAGCACCAATTATATTTCTATTTGAAATGCGAAGCATTTCTTGGCAAATAAGACACTTCGAGTGTTTTTATCTACGTGTCTATCGATCTAGAGGCTTAAGTCAATATAGGCGCTATTGATGTTGCCTCGTTATACTAACATAGGTGATTACAAAAGTATGACAAACATGACTATCTGGTCGTGAGCAGGAAAATCTTGGCCTGTACGTCACGAAACCCTTTCCTGCAGCCACGTGTGGCACATACACAGGCCTCAGAATGCATGAATGAACCACATGTGGCTCCTAGTTTATATCTACCAGAAGCAGTAACAGACATTGGTAGCTTAAACGGGTGCGCATCAAGAAAATGTGGCATCATATTTTTTGTGGCGTGATGACCCCCCCGAGGTATGCAAAGAATAGAAATCGGGATATCAGAAGGAACTGAACCTGCAGGCATTTTTAGTGGCAATCAATTATTCTTCGAAAGAGCCAAGCCACGTCTCTAAACTTCTTTTAAGAAAGCCTATGGACAAGAAAATGTCGGTGCAACTAACGTAGTAGTGGCTGCAGTACTGGTTTCCTAATTTTATGGCAAGGTAATAATCATTCCTTATTTACAGCTAATGCTTTGATACATACGTCCTGTCAGCTAAATGCCAATTTTGGTTGTAATATGTGTTGGCTGCACTTTTATAACAGTCAGATAAACATTACATATGTGCTTCTATGATTCAGCAAGCTGTGATGAGGCACTGTTCAAAACCGGAGAAAACATTCCAACGAATGAGGTACAATGTACACAGTGCCGCACATGAAATGTCGACTATACTTCAATGTGAATCGCACTTCATTTCAATAAAAATGACATCTCTTCCTGACATTAGGTCAGACCGCAAGTTACCCTTGAAATATCAATGTAGTCGGCATGGCTGGCAAGCCCACTACAGTATGTCACCACAACTACTCCATATACAAAAAGATGTTCATGCACTTTGTTACACTTTACTCAAGCTGAACAAATGCCGCACAGACTAGCTGACTGCTTTGCATAAAACCGGTTCACAATGCGTGGGATCTGTCGAATTCTACCTAATACTTTGTTATTATGCCTACACATTAACATTGTTTCCTAACATTGGCAAAAGAGCGCGTACATTCCCTTCTTGTCTTTCTTCACTCGATGCTTCACCAACTGCATTTGTTCTTCTGTTGTAGTTCTTGCCCGCTCCTGCTTTCTTCTGCCTTTTTTTTTTCTATGCTTGGCCAATCCTAGTATTTTAACAGATAATGTAATCTTCGCTCTTCGTACACTTCACGCAGATTTCAGCAGCACACAACACAAGAAATGGCCGCACAATAATAAAAAATAACCACCAGCCCCGTGCCCCCGCAGCACGCACCTGAGCCTGTTCCGGCATCCACCTGCCATTAGTTCCCCGTTGCCACCGACAGAGGTGCCACCAGTCCGAACTCGCCCTGTGCCTGGCACTATAATCAGTGACCGTTGAACTCCCCAAAATAACGATACTCACATTCACTTGGAGCCGCAATGTTGCTTCCGACATCAACAATCTGGCGACATCCCGACCGCAGCAACCAATCCGCTGGACAACCTCAGAGAGCTGAGGATGCAGGGCGGCAACACTGTAGGCATGAGCTGCCCGCTTGTCCATTGACCCATGAACAAATGCAGCGGCAAACCGTAGCAGCTTCCGATTGCGGCGAACCTGCACCGTGATTAATCTGTCGGTGGATGCGCGACACTTCAAATAATTTTCCAACATGCAATTATTATTAGTACGAACAGGTGCCTTGTCAAATGTATGTACACAGAGAAGAACAAAAATTAGGGGACCCATAAGCTTTGCTTTCAAGAGTTGAACACAATAGCGATATTCTGTTCATAGTGCGTGCTTCAAACACTTAGTTTATGAAACCTTTTCGAACTTGCTATGCCCCTACTAAATGGCCTTAAGTGCACAGTAGCATGTGTGCCTTTTGTAGTGGATGTCTGGCTTTAAACTATGAAGACATTATTATAATCCCCTATTCTGACGCTCGATGGCAATGCATGCTTGTACCATACATTATTACGGCTATATTTTATGTTGTATTGTGTGGCATGCATACAAAATGCGTGTGTTTGTAAAGCATGAAAGTTACTTTCACTGAATTTTCAAGCAGAGGGAGTTATTTCCATTGTATTCACAAGCAGAGCCATGGCTGTGTGGTAGAACACCTGCTTGTCACTCAATCGATCCGGGTTCGATCTCCACTCAGACCCAGAATTTTTTATTATTTATTTTATTTGCATCTTTCTCGATTTTCAGTCATGCAAAGATGATTTTTCACTCACAACCAATGGTACTGACAGCAACAGCAGAATATCTGTGAAACAAGCTCTGTAACGCCGCACAGTTTCCCCCCTTGTGACAAATTCGGGCTTAAGCGCGGGCGTTTTTTTGGCCCCGGCTCACGTTAAAGGATGCCACTGTGGCTCCATCTGAAGACGTCTCACAAATTAGAGTGCTGTTGTTCATATGTTTGCTGTTCTGGCTGCCTACACAGATTAAAAGCTATTTCTCAAAGGGCACGGACTTGCTGCATTTATATCCCATCTCTAACAAATAGCTTGCAGTATCAGGTGGAAAAAGTGAATGCAGGTGCAGAGGTCGTTACCATCATTGATCAAAAGTCCCGTAAAGACCTGTTGGTTACCAAGTACGGCTGAACCCCTTTATAAAATACATTCATTGGAGAGCAGTTTTTTTCCTTTTAATGAAGTGTCTCCAAGAAGCAGGGCATTATGTTCTCACTTTTTTTTTCTTACCAATGACTACTTTGATGTAGGCACATTGGTGTCTCTTATATCCACTGGTCTTTAAAGTCGGCGTCTCTTCTAAATGGTTCCCATGTACAGTGTGCAGAAGGACTACTGTCTCAAAATTCCGAGCAAGCACCACCCCCTCCCCCGCCCAACGAAGTCGAAGTGGGGGGGTGTGAAAGGGGCGCTATCTCGGAACGACACCAATATCAAAGATGGTGGCAAAATTTTTGCACCAGAAAAAAAAAACAGTGTGCATCGACTAAAACTTTAATACGGTGAAATTTATTCAGCCCCAGGATTTGTTGTAGGTTTTAATCACTTTCAAAACAATCGAAAGACTCCTCTGAGTCTGTTGCAAAAAAACATGTTGCAGTATTCTGCTTGAAGTCTGCCATGATTTTCTGGCACCACAGCTCCAACACAGGCTCTCATTCATAGCGCAACGCACTGCAATGCCAAACCACTGTTTCCAGCAATTTATGGAGGCTACGAAGTTTTCCAACTGCATGCTGTTGGCAATTTTGACGGCCTCTTCAGAAATAATCCGGTTGCTGACGGCACGTCCTGCATTTCTTTTACGCTCAAGGTACTCGAAAAGCGCATCGTCCACATGTTCACTGAACACCGGTGTGTGGTTACTGAGCTTCCATCAAAGCTTTGCCTTCCCATAATTTAGCTGCAGCAAATTATCTAAACTCTTCCCCATTCCCGTATCCCGTTCTGGTCGAGCTTTAAATGTCGAGACGTTCTTTTCATTTTCTCGATGTCATCGAATAACCTCGATTTTCTTCGACACTGTGTGGTACTGCATGGGCATAGTTGACTTCTCACAGTGAACACAAAGCAACAAACGGCACGGAGCAATCGGGCTCCAGTGCCAAGCAGGATTGGATTGAATTGGATGAACGGGGGTACCTTTTCCTTAACAGTGTGGATATTTGAAATTTCCAGTGAAGCTTGGGAGGGGCCTGTACAGGTGAAGGTGCTCGCTCAAATTTTACGGTAGATACAGTGTTTGCCGAATGCCAGAATGAAATGCGCCGGCTTCAAGGATTCGAACAAGATAAAGTGACACCATTGAGTTGTTAAAAGTGCATTTCTGCTTTTTTAAGACTTGGCACTTGTTATTTTGCATTTATAACTACACTGAAACCTCATTAAAACCAAGCTATATCTTGCACAAAAAATGTTTGTTATATCAAAAAATTTGTTATAAAGGTTTATTTCTAACACTATATCTATAGAAAGACTGACTTTCATTTACTTTGTTATAAATGATATTTCAATATATCTGGGTTTGTTATGTATGAGTTTACGTAAATCACAAAGGCTACAACACGCTTGAACTTTTAATCTGAAGCTACGTGTTTGTGCTTTGTAGAAATCGAGCTTTTTTGCAAGCATTGTATGGACAGCAGAAAGCTGGTATGCTGAGTGCTTAGACTCGCACTAAAAGGTAAGTCAGCTCAGTCAAGAGAGTTTTTAAAGGCGAAGCTCCCCAAGGCGTCACCCAATCATTCTCTGTGGCAACCATCTCTCTTTAGTTTTTGAACCGGCCATAGAGGGCGCTACTTGTAATATATAACGAATGCATATATGCTGAAAAATGCAAGTGGTCCGACACTAGAGGGCGTTACTTGCAGAAAATATAATAATAAAGGGTGAGTTCTATGTAAACAGGGTTTACGTCACACGTACGGAAGGAGAGAGAGAAAGGGAAACGATCGTGCGACTGCGATCGCGTATTCTTCGGCGGCGTCGTAGGCCAAATGGTGCTCTTCAGTGAAATAAAAATAAAAGTACCGTGTTGGCACTTACGCATTTAGAGGGTCGGCGAATAAAAAAGGCTGCTGAGCGGCATGCACGCAGGGCGGTGGCAGTTAGCGCTCGAAGAGGGAACCTGATGATCGGGCACCCGAGGCAGAAGCGTGCCGTGAAGCACACAGCGGCACCGGCAAGATCCCGATGTACGAGCGCAGGAGGCTGAAGCGGTGTGACAGTGGCACCAGGCCGCACGAGAAGCTATACTTGGCGCCCACCCTTCAATCGAAGACATCAAAAAGATCATCGACCAGGACATGCACATATACAACAGGTCGAGACCGTTTCTGCTCGTCAGCGACTTCAACGTTGACGTATTGAACCCCCTAAACATTGGTTGATGCAATACATGACGAGCAAGTATGGACTCAGGTGCATCTCCTTCGATTACCCCGATCACAAGATGACCATCAGGGAAACGTGCATCAACGTCGTGTTTGCAAATATTCATATACAACCAGTGCAAGAACCGCTTTCGGTGAACTTTATGGACCATAAAGCAGTCATAATGAAAGCAAAACGAAAACCAGAAGTAATAAATGACAATGTTTAAAGGAGCACTGACATCAAATTTACTCATGTCCAGATTTTTGGGTCAACGAGTAGCTATAGACCGCCTAGTAACGATTTGCGAGCTAAAACGCATCTGAGTGGCGAATGAGTATCTGTAATATTGAATAATATATCCGCTATCGAACGTGGTTCAAAATGGGTCAAAAGCGCGCCAAATTGTAGAGCTGGCAGCGCTACCTCGCGGCCACGTCGAGGCCGCTGCACAGCTGATGCCGCTTTCACAAAAATGGTGACGTCACACTGGCTTTACGTCTGCTAGGAACGCACGTACAGTCAGTGCAGCTGTGTCTTCGAAGGCGTAGACATGCCTCTGTCGCCAACATCGTCGTCTCTGCGGTCGTCGCGGTCAACATCGGCAAGTGATGATGACAGCGACCTAGAATTGGGTACCGCCACGATTCGCGACGATCCTTGCTTAACAAGCTCCGCGTTAAGTGCAATGTATTTATAAGTCCCAGCCTACTATGCACCTCATGTCGCGGACATTTGGCGAGTGAATCGCTGCTTTCAGCTGCAGCAGGGCACACGGTAGAAATAGCCCCGAGTTCGAGAAGAGGCCTCGTACTGCCAGTGAAACCCAACAGGTTCGCCAACACAGGATTTACCCTGTAGCAGCTCGCCACAAAGTGAAGGGAGCAAAATACAGCTGTTCTTCACAGGCGTCCAGCCCCTCTGTCCAACGGCGCGTACGAAGTCAACCCACTGGCTGCATTGAGGTTCGTGGCTTGATTGATTGATTTGTGGGGTTTAACGTTCCAAAACCACTATTTGATTATGAGAGACGCCGTAGTGGAGGGCTCCGGAAATTTTGACCACCTGGGGTTCTTTAACGTGCACCCAAATCTGAGCACACGGGCCTACAACATTTCCGCCTCCATCGGAAATGCAGCCGCCACATAGGTTCGTGGCTTGGAAAGGCATGAAACACCACCCACTTTCCACTTTTCCTGCTCCTCGACGAGCAGGTTCTCACTACGCAGCGGTTCCCCGACATTCTGGCACATAGCTCGGCATACTCACTCATGAGTACACTCACTCACACTCATTCATACTCATTTGAACATGGTGAGTGTGAGTATGAGTGAGTACTCATGAGTATGAGTAAGAGTGAGTATGGACATGAATGAGTACTTTCAGTGTGAGTAGAAGTGAGTATGAACGTGAGTGGGTGCTCATGAGTGTGGGAAGGAGTGAGTATGAGTGTGAATGGGTATTCTGAGTGTGAATAGGAGTGAGTATGAACGTGAGTGACTACTCTGAGTGTGAGTATAAGTGAGTATGAATGTGAGTGAGTACTCTGAGCATGAGTGGAATTGAGTATGAACGTTAGTGAGTATCGTGAGTGTGAGTAAGAGTGAGTATGAACGTGAGTGAGTACTCATGAGTGTGAATAGATGTGAATTTGAACGTGAGTGAGTACTCATCAGTGTGAGTATCCGTGAGTATGAACGTGAGTGAGTATTCATCAGTGTGAGTAGGAATGAGTGAGAGCTTGTGAGTGTGAGT